CAGTCCCCTGGGGAACAATCTGTTTTGGAGCTAGTAGTGTCCTCCCCAGTCTCTACCACAAAGGTTCACATTCAGTGAAGAATACAGAATTGAAGTTATGAAAAGCCGCACTCGAATAGGGTTTCTTTCCTCCCATTTCCTATCAGATAATTTTGTGCAACTTGCTGAACCTCTTTCTGAGCCTCAGTTTCCTCATTTATAAAACAGGAGGTAATAGTATTTACTCTATTAGGGTTGTTCAGAGGATCAAATAAGAAAACTCACAAAAATGTTAAGAAATGTAAAATATTGTTATTATCCTGTCTCTGGTACTGGGGAACATTATTGCTAAGCTACAGCTGACAATGCACTATTAAAAATGCACCATTTTAACCAGGAAAGAGCCTGGTCAGCTTCTACCTGGTATTATTACAAAACGGAGAACTAAAGTAATGGATAAATGGTAAGACTAGGTGGTGCTGCTTCTCAATTTGATTGCAAAATATTACAACTATGTAGTCCACATAAGTTAAATTTTCATATTTTTTCCCGATCAAACTAAAATATAGTGAAGATACAGATGGCAAAACAGGCAGTGGGGGAAGAGGAGCATGTCTTTGCTTTATTTCAGGATTCACAGATTTTCAAGAGACAACACAGTTCTGCAGTGACGTACGATTTAGTTTAAATTGTAATGGCTCACCAGGAGTGCAGTGACAGGGTCACGGGACGGGGTCTGCCAGCATGCATGCTCTTTTAGAGTTCATCAGATTATTACTAGTTTTCAATAATGGCCATTAACCACCCTTCTCCCGAAGCTAAATGCCCTTTGAGAACATCAGACTCTCTTTTCCCCCTAAACCATTTATAAATGTTCCGGGGTTCCCTTGCAGGCACATTTTTCTGCCACAGAATTATCCCCAGCAGCAAAAAATGGGCCTTCTTATAGATGGTGCACAGTATGGGCCCACAGCTGCTTTTGAAGAATGACATGTTGTGATTTGGAATTTCCAGAAATATCAAAAAACAAATTGCTTTCTGACCCACATTTGTACCCAAAACTGGGAAAAATTTTCCCTAAGATCTCCAGGGGAAGTTTTAACAGGAATATAATTTTGCTTTTAAAGTTAAATCTTCTACACTGCAGCATGCTGGCATGTCGAAGAGTGATTATTAAGTCCCAGAGAGGTGCTAGGATAAGAGATGAGAGAGTAAATCAGGAAAAATAAATACATAAAATAACTATTCACCAAAGTTAATACAAAAATATTTTGAACAAAATTATCAAACAAAACAGAAGTAGAAAGTGCCTTATCGGTCAATGTAAGAATTTTAAATATTATTAAAATTGATTTTTTAAGTAAGACATCTCTTTAAATGAACAGTCATATGTCATTTCATCCAAGTTATTTGAAAGTTATTGATCTTATCATTTGTACAAGGACCAGACTCTGCCATCAGTTTGCTGAAAGGATAATGGAGCACTCCCGAACTGTTATGATAGGTTGGATGCAAACAGTGGTCCTCATTTAAACACACAGAATAGCACTACAAGTGGACAAATTCCAACCTCAGCAATTGTATATTACATGATAAATTAGCAACTTGGTCTGCTTTGCCTCACATCAAATCCAATACCATAGCCTTGCTATTTTAATTTGCAATCAGAGCTTGAGCATCAGAAGATGTACCTGAGGTACATTAAAGAGCCCCCATGCAAGCCATCTTCTCCTGTTATACTGTGAGCACAGAAAACCAACAATTACCAGCAATTGTATTTTACCCCTACAGGACAATACCAGAACAGTTAAAATTGTCTCCATGCAAGCAACCAGGGAAAATATACTTAAAAGACTTTATATGGAAAATTACATTTTGGGGAAAAAAGTTCAATGGAGGACATGTATCTTTCTGTATGGGCAACTAAAAACCTCTCTTAGTATATTCAAGCCTATTCTGTAAAATACTCTCCCTATTCATCCAACTAAAAGCAAGCTACGTTCTTAAGCTGTAATAGGTCAAAACTAAGTACACAGTACCTTGCTTCAGGAATAATTTTGCTTTGTCTGTCAACTGTCAACAAAACACAAAGAGCTCATGCAACCCAGTCATGTACTGTGGATGTTAGAGATCTAACAAAATACAAATAACAAGAATACAAGATTTTCTAGCCACCCTGCTTGCATTTTATATGAGAAACTGAAAGCATTTTTCTTTCCACTTTCCATTAATCTCTATTATATTACAAATCTTTTCATAAAATACTTTTTCCCCCTATGTGAAGCTACAAGTGACTTGGGGATGTAATATTCCAACTGCAACGAACGTCTGAGTTTCTAACATGAATGGTAATAAATGGATGTGTCAGGTAAGTCATACAGTCATTGCAACAAGGGAAAGGAGGAAAGAATCAAATGCAATGAGATGGTAAAATGGTTACTCTGGTGATTACATTAATATTTTAGTGATGAAACCTCTAAGAAAAATTGTTCATTACTTCCATCACCATTCCTGTCTCTCGAGTCTTCACTCCTGAAAAAACCCACCACCTTAGCTATGTACACACAATAATGAATAAACTTCAAAAGTGAACTCAAGGTTTGGGTTCATCATTATATGCACAGAAAAAAAAAAAAAGACTGGAAGGAAATACTCTCCAATGTAATCATTGGTAATCTCTGTGGTTTCTTATTTCTGTATTTTCAAATTTTTCTACAACAAGTTTATGTTGTTCTTATAATCAGAAAGCTTATTAACGAGAGAAGGAACAGTTTTGCCAAGAGCTTTCAATATAATCAAATCAGTAACACAGCTGAAAAACAGTCTGAGCTATATCATGTATATGCTTGCTGCCAAGATAAATTTTCAGGGAATGTGCCTATAGGGGGAAAAAAAAAGGAACATGAAAAAAAATCATCTGTTATTAAAAAATTTTTTTTTTACTAAATCTAAAATTTCAAAAATAGGTCATTTTAATCATATAAGCAATTCTTAATGAGGAAGTGGCAGGGTATATATTAGTAGTATTAGTATCATTTATTAAATTAAGCCATGCACTAAAATGCACCCCGTCTTTTACAGAATATGAATATCTTTCTTTATGGTGGTGGGTCTCTGAAGGTAGGTAATAAATCACTTTTAAAGAGAGGTGCCTTGTTCCCCACGCCCTCTCCCCTGCCTTTATTCAGTGTGCACACAGATCAACTCAGATGTCCTGGGGTAAGAATCAAATAAAACAAAATTCAATCAGGATGGCATGCACGCCTAAAACCTTCTTACCAGAAGAGTTTGTCTTTGCTCAAGTCTAGCTAAAAGTGATTTTTATTGTTTGTTTGCTCAGAGACTAGTATTTATTGGTATGGTTTCATGTGATACGCCTTTGGGTAGCGAACGACAAATGTTAAAACTGAACTATAGCTACTACTGCCTCAAAGGACATCTTAAAATCAGAATGGAGTTCAAACTATCACCAGGCAATGTTTGTTCATTTAACTTTAATTATTTTCTCCTTGAGAATGGTACTAATGAAACTGAATATCTTTCATGGTTTCAAAGGGCCGTTTGAATAGTCTGTAAACAGAACTAAGGGTAGACAAGAGATCTGGCTGAGCCAGGAGGTTGCTAGGTGATGTAGAATGTAGACCCACAAACTTGTTAAGGTTTGCTTTGCTTTCATGCCACTTTCACACACTCTCAAAAGTTTTGAGAATTGATTTTTCAGGTGGTCATTAAAAAAAAAAAAAAAAAAAAAAAAAGAACTCCCTCCCTCCAATATTCACTCCCTGCAGATGTTCTGCCAGATTCAGAAGAGACGAAATCCATCTAACCTTTGGCCGCAACATGGGAAACTTTTGGTTTTACATGAATGTAGGATTATATATTTTCTGAATGCCTATAATTTAAGAAACAAATGCAAGGTAGATTATAACATTTGATAAAGATACTTCTCATCTCTTATCTAATTTAAAACTAAAATTTCTCTTCAGAAAAAAAACTTATGATGACAATTTGGGAGATCTGGGGCACAAAACCAAAACCCTGTGGCAAATGCCTTAGCACAAATCATCATGGTGACAAACCTTTCAGTTTAGCCACTCTTGTCTTCTCTCTTCTGGCCTGCACCAAGACTCACTGCCTGTGAGGCTTCTCCCTCTGGTCCCCTCCTCCAGCCTCCTTTTTAAGTAGCTGATCAGAGATTGTCCAGTAAGAGCACTTTATTAGATCATCAGCCAGAGGGGTTCACAAGTACTGAGAGCAATGGGCTCAAATGCGGCACATCAGTTTTAATAGACCAGGGGCTACTAGTAAACTGCAGATACTGCTGAGAACTTTCCATGCACTGAACTCTTGAAAAAGCACCGTCTCTCCAGCTTAAATGCAGCTGCCTCTTTCAATGCCGCAAATGGGTAAATTTGACAAAAAAGCCACCATTAAGACTACATGAAAGGCTCAAGACAACATCCTTTCAATGCTTTGTACTTCAGTAATCAGATGTACTTACTCACCCCCTCCCCCAAACCCGATCAAGAACTATTTCTGAATGGTAGGAAATAATTCCACTTTGTACATCTTTTAGTTAATCAAGACTTTCTATTCAGCAATTTGACCTTTTGTTCAAAACAGGATTATCAGTTTTTTCGCCAGTTACCAAGGGCGACTCGCATGGTGAACATAATTGCAATAATTTGCAAAACACCATGGCAACCCACATTACAACTAGGTAAATACTGGGCTTTTGTGCTACATTGTTATTTTCAGAGATGCTGAAGTCAAAGAACGAATGACAAATGAACACAAAATTTATATTTGCTTTGTCTCAAAAGAGAAGAAAATTGATAACAAGAATTGGGGGGAAACCGACTACAGCTGTAATTTCTAACTTGATTAATTAGGATGGTAACAGTCCTTAACAGTATATTCAACAAACAGCCCTGACTTGGTCTCTCCACCCACCTCTCTCCTTACCACTACCACTATCACCCCCACCCCAGACAAATTTTTTCAGCTTAGAGAACAAACATCCCCCATTTGCTCTTTTCTTCAACTTAATGGAATCCTTAATTGCAGAATATTGTTCTCCTGCTCTTCGCAGCAATGAATATGAGAGAAAGGAGGAGAGTGCCAGGGCAGACAGGGAGCTACAGTCATTTTCTTTTCCTGCCTCTTTTGGACACCCCAGGCCCAATGATGAGACGGCATTTTCCTGGTATCAGCAGCTGTTTCGCAGCAGACAATAAAGTAAAAAGTATTTGGCTTTGCAGAAAAGCCACTTCTTTCCTCTTGGCAGCACAAGGTAAGTCTACATGCTGAGATAAAGTTTCATAATTTAAATGCCAGAACATAAGATGAGAAAATAATGATAACAATAAAAAAGCATACATTTGTCTTGTTAAGAAATTATTAACTGTAGTACTGTCCCAAAAGCTGTTGAAATGCATGTGCTTGCTATTTGAGGAAGATGTTAATATCACCAATGTGCAAACCACTTTATACTCAGAGATCCCAATTCACAAAACAATCTAAAAATATAAACTGAGTATTCAGAAATTAATATAAAAATCAACATCATATTTTAGTAGATAAACACAACCTCAAAAATAATATAATCTTTTCAATAATAAATGATGATTAGAAAAGTTATATCAGAATTATTTACTCAGGTATAAAAGGCAGGTTCTGTTTTACAGGAAAGGAGCAGTTTTTTTCTAAGAGGCACAAATTCTATTATAATACCTAGCTTTTGGAAATTATCAAAGCTGACTTTCTCATGCAAAATGTAATATTTCAGGATGAGAAAAGAAAAATACACACAGAAAGGGCTTGCAGAAGTTATATTGCCGAGATCTCGAGAGAGAAGCAGCTCCAGATGCATTCTGAACACAGCCCGGCCTGCTTCCCTTCATCTGTCTTACAACAAGAGCAAAAAGAGAGTCTCTGAAAACAATCTGCATATTTCCCCTAACTTTTGAAAAATCAAATGGACCTGATACCATAATGGGTCCATTCTTATTTTGTCAGGGCTGAAGACTTCCTGACAGATCTCTAAGATTCAGCACAGAGAAATCACAATATAACATTCTTCTGAATATGCCTCTGAAATTATAGATACTGCGATTTCTCTCGAGGAGTGAAAATCAAAAGGATATATGACACATTAACTCCTTCTCAGTCAGTGATAACCTCTTTACACTTTGAAAATATTTTATTTCCTGGCTTAGTTCACTCCAAATTTACCATACCTGTATTAAGTTCATTAAGAGGAAATACATGCCTTAACGCCAAGTGACAAAGGGTAGAGCAAGCCTTTAGTACTTTTTGGTCAGACAGAATTGATGATAGATCTTGAAGTGGGCCTAAAATCCCCATCACACTTGAACTTCTTTAAGAAACCCTTATATATAAATATTTTATAATCTACCTGGAATTTCTTCACTTTAACATTTTACCTTCTGTATTCCTCCCCACTTCTTTTGTGGCTTCTGTTCCAGTGTGACTTTTTTCTTTTCTCCTGTTTCCCCTGCCTTTTCGCCTTTTTTCTTTGCCAATTGGCTGAGATGCCTCTTGACGTATATTTGTTTAGAAAGGCTCATCTATGAGTGATTGCAACATCCAACCTTCTATAATGTTAATAAATTACCCAAATCACTAAATCAGGAATGGCAAACACCTAGCAGGTATACTGCAGTTCCATTTCCAACTTTATTCCTCAAGGCCACTATAGAATGGAAGCTGGCACCCAATATAAAACCCATCTGTTAAACCTGTTCCAAGTACTTATTGCTCCAGAATTCTTAACTCTGGCAGCACACTGGACTCACCAGGGCAGCATTACAACACAGCGCCACCCAAGAGTGTCTGATTCAGTAAGTCCTGGGTGGGGCCTGAGAATGTGTATCTCTAACAAGTTCCCACGTGATACTGCTGCTGCTAGTTTGGGATCTCACTTTGAGAACACCAGTCTGGGATAGGGAATGAGCAATGGGATTTTATAAAGTTTCCCCAAGTGATTCTAAAGCGCAGCTAAGGTTGAGAACCACTGTTCTGTATTATTCTCATTCTCTCTTGTTCAAAGAGAAACTACTGGTTATTATTTTCTGAACAATGAACTTCATAAATGCAATTGTACTTAAATTATCTCTCAACTTTCTCTCTTCCCAAGTTTACTCCTTCTTTACATATTATTTAGGTGGTTCACGCTTGCTCTTCCAAGTTTTCTATGCAGCATTAGAATTATCAAAGTCTGAAATCTGACTTAATTCTATTAAAAGAACTGAATGGTTTACATCATGTACATAGCTTAATAACTTTCTTCCCTTACACAAACTAATAAACAAAGAACCTCAATCTGGCAACAACAATAGAGTTCTTAAAATATGAAATGCGCTTTAATTAGAATCACAGAATTTTAGGAGTGCTGGTGAAAACAGTGTCTATGGAAAGCAATCAGAATTACACCTTTGACTTTGACAAGTAATATGAAGTGAGATATTTAAACCCAAAGCTTTAAAGCTGGAAGAGACTTTAGATCTCTTGTCTAATCCTTCACATTGTATGTGAGGAAAATGAGGCCCAGAAGAATGTAAATTTTTTGCATACTGTCACACAGCATGTAGACTGAACTTCTAGTCCAGTGCTCTTTACACACCACATCTATGCTACTTAATAAATGAGCCAGTAGCTGTATGTGGCTCTTGAGCACTTAAAATATGGCTATTCAAAATTGAGATAGGCTGCAGGTGTAAAATATACAGCAGATTTCAAAGACTTAGTTCAAAAAAGAAGACTATAAAATAGTTTAGTGGTATTTTTAACACTCATTACAGAATAAAATACCATTTTGGATATATTGGGTTAATTAAATTTTTTTTAAATTTTAAATATTATTAATAGAGTCAGGGTCTCACTGTGTCGCCCAGGTGCTCCTCCTGCCTCAGCCTCACAAAGTGCTAGGATTACAGGTGTGAGCCACAACATCTGGCCAGGTCAATTAAAATTTATTATCATATTATGAATAATTATCTCTCATTTAAAAAAATACAAATTGAAGTTTATCACATACACGGTTCTAAATGCTGCTTTTTCACTGAAAAGTAGAGGAAATTATGGACTACTAGTACATATAGATCTTCAGTGTTCTTGTTAACAGTTGCACAAATTTCTATTATGACTGTAATAATCTAATGAATGCTCTTCTGATCAACAATAGGTTGTCTTCAGTCTCTTACTATTACTATTATAATGCTGCAAGAAATATCCTTGTATAGTACCTTTGATAATATCTGTAAGGACTGTACATCTGTAGGGAGAGATATCCAAATTAGAATTGCAAAGTAGAGTGGTATGTTCATTTACAATCTTGACGGATGTTGCCAAATTGCTGGGGATGTGGATAATGAGAGAGGCTATATAAGTGTAGGGCAGGGGGTATATGGGAAAACTATACACCTTACTCTGAAATTTTGCTGTGAACCTAAAACTGGTCTAAAAAATAAAATCAATTATTAAAAAAGTTTTCTCAATTCCACAATTAGTAACAATATTACTTTTATAGTTCCATTTTCTAAGTTTAAGTTTTTGATCCTTCTGAAAGTTGCTTCAGTGTAAGGAACAAAGAAGAAATCAACTGTATTTTCTTCCGGATGATTATTACCTACTGATGTAAACCACCTTCCTTTAAAAAATAAAATGCAACTTTGGGTCTGTTTATGGCCTTTCTATAGTTGCTACTTTGAAATCACCAAATAGTTTTGCACCAAAATATTTTAAATACCCCAATTGCCAGTAGGACTCGTGGGCCATTTTCTTTGTTAGAATTTTCCCGTGATTTCCTTTTAAAACTTGAGGAAACTTTAAATTTATGGATAAACTTAGGGGAACTGACAATCCTAAAATGTTGAGTGGTCCTAGCCAAGAATATATGCTTTTCCATTTACCCAAGTCTTCTTTTAAGTCCTTCAGAGTTCATATATATCCAGCACATTTCAAGTTTATTCCTAGGTATTTCATCGTTTTAGCCTGGATTGTAAATGAGATTTAGTTATTTATGTTTTCTGACTGGTGGTTGTGTGTATATAGCCGAAAGCTACTGATTTTTAGTATTAATTTTATAACTAGTAACCTTATTAAAATTCTTTTTGTCTGTGGTAACTTCTTGGTTGATTTTATTGGATTTTCCACGTTCCGAATGATCTGTAAATAATAATTTCCTCCTTCTTCCAATTTCTATATATTCCTTTTTCTGGTCTAATGACAATGGTTAATCTTTTCAAAATGTGTTATTTATCAACATTTCTACCAGACTACCTCTAGCAGATTTCCCAAGAATCTAGGGCCGTGGACCTAAGAACTAAGCCACACAGGAATCTCTGCAACTGAAAAAAGTAATTTTATTAGAATCATTACAGATTCTGTATAGACCTTTGTCTCAGAGTGCCTAAAATCAAATTTAGGACTGAAAATTTAGCTAAAGGACATTAAATGGTTGACTAAATATTAAAATACCTCCTTTCATATTTGGGAAATTAGCCCTCTTAAAAGATCCCTTCCCTAACATAAGTATTATTTAAATTAAACTATAGTATTCAATCATTTCTCCTGGCTCTGCCTCTAGAAACCAAAACCTGAAATGCACCAGAGCTCAATTTTGGGGGCTTCAGTCTCTTCTTTCATAAAGAAGGGTGTTGCATCAGGACAGATGACTGTAAGGCCTGTTCAAGTGAAAGAGTTCTCTAATTCTACAACAGAATTTAAAAAACCAACAACAACATGAGGTTCCCCATAAGCCCTAATGACTTATCCATAACTAAGGTTAGCAAAATATATACGTTCCTAGCACTGAAAGTATTTCCTGTTAACTTAATCTCATTACTCCAACATTAAATTAGGATTTAGTGTTACTACTGTTTTCATTTGAGTGCTCCTGGCTGAGTAGTATATGTCAATGAATGTCTAGAGCAGTGGCTCTCAAAATGTGGGCTTGGGATCAGCAACATCAGCATCATCTAGGAATTTGTTAGAGATGCACATTATCTGGTCTCACCCCAGACCTAGAATCAGACACTCTAGGGGTGACACCCAGCGATCTGTGTTTCAGCAGGTCCTCTATGGTGTGACAGTGATAAGTGGGCATGTATTTACACAAATAAGGTTTAATAAATATATATCATGAGACTAAATGGCATATTTTATCAAGTTGTGAAACATATAGAAGCCAGGCTGAGGCAGAGTGCTATAAAGACAGATTAAAGGTTTTAAATATATATATATATATATATATATATATATATATATATATGTATGTTGCTAATCCTGACATTTGCCCCTCATGTTACCCCTCTCAAAGCCTAAAACACCTTATTCCCCTTCTGAATACTTTGGTTGCTAAGGATTTGAATACACATTCCCAGGGCCTACAATTTCTAAATTGCAAGAACCGTTAAGGAAAAGACCTTCCATCTTAAGAGATGTTTTCATGTGTTATTGAAATAGGTTCAAAGAAAAATTCTTCAGATTCAGCTCCAGAGCTCTTTTGTCCTTGCTCTGAATCTTCTAACAAGCCTCTGAATCTACTTTCAAGTCCCACTCATCTGTGGCAAGCCTAACATTCCTCCCATCGACATGAAGATGATTTTATGAATGCCTGTCCATTTGCTAGTCCATTGCCTTACTTCTGATTACATTCTAGGACTTAGGAGACGCTGTTAGGAAAAAATTCTCTTTGGCTTCTCTTTTGATGTTTTATAAAATAAAACTAAAGAATTTGACTTTGCTGCATAAGCACTGTCGCTGAGTGTTCCTCCAGGAAAGAAAATGGGCCTGGAGTAGGTCATTAATTTACTAAGAACAGAGAAGTCTCTACCTAATCAACTCTTCTTCCCTGGGAGCACTCTCAGGAGGCTTTGTACATTAGAAGCCAGCAGAGAGATTTACATTTTTACATGCTGGACTTCAAACTATTGTTGAGAAAAGAAAGCCACTCATTACAGGACAGTTTGTATGAATTCTTTGGGGATGAGTGAAGGACTGAGATACTTCGCTAACTGGCCACAAACTTGACACACAGTTACTGAGCATACAAAAGCACTGTGCTTCAAGATGGTCAAATACCGGCGGCATTTTACATACCAGTATGAAATGATGATGACTCTCCACTCTATTGCTACATTTACGGTATCACTAAAACACTGATGATCATAAAACTATGTGGGTAAAGTAATCTGGCGTGGGAATATAGCTACTCACGTGTCTGCCAAACTGATTCCCTAAGCAGAGAGGATACATCCTTCATCTGGCCCAGCTTATATGCTGGCTGCCCATACAAGGAACATCACTACCAAAATAATATGTAAAGTGACTGTTAAAGTGAAAAACCTTCAAAAGGGCTGTACTTTGCACATACTTGTATGAATTACTTTCTTCAAATAATTAAAATGAATGCTAAGGGCAAGCAACATGCTGGATCTATATTAAAACAGTTTTAACAGCATCACTTGGGAGAACGGCTCTTTTTAATTGGGACACCTGGAATGCATGAAAGTAGGCATGACTCTAAGTGCAGGAAGAGGTCCAAACATGCTAATAGGTAAGAGGACAAAAAGTTTGTGGATAGCAGAAAGAAGGAAAGAGGTAAAAGCAAAGGGAGACAGAAGGCCACCACCTCAGCCCCCAAGAACTCTGGGATCCTATCATTCAACTTTGAGCCTCTATAGTCTAGCATAGTGTCTGATGCACTGCAGAAGATGATGAAATATTCTTTTAATTTTACACTGATGGAATTAAACTCTCTGATATTGAGACTAATTCAGATGGCTGAACACTCCAGCCTCCCTCAGGCTAGGCTGCCTGTGAGAGTCCAAAAACCCTTCCGAACCTTCCCTCACTGTGCCCTTCTTGCAGGAGGCAGATAAAGAAGCCCTGTGGCAAAATGGAAGGGCAGGAGCCAACTCAAAGATCTCTTCTCACCTCACTGCTTCAGGAGCCATGTGCCTTGGGCAAGCCCTTCACCCCATGAGCCTTTGGGTATGTTCCCGTGGATGCTGTAAGCACACCTACCCTAGCTCTTTCATGGGATGACACTGTGAGTATCATGTAAGACCAATGTCCAAACTTCCATAAAAGACTTTTGTGATCAAGAGTAATTCCTGGCCAGGCACAGTGGCTCATGTGTGTAATCCCAGGACTTTAGGAGGTCAAGGCAGCAGGATCACTTGAGCTCAGGAGTTTGAGACCAGCCTGGGCAACATGGTAAGACCCTGTCTCTATAAAAAATTTAAAAATAAGCTGGGCATGGTGGCGCATACCTGTAGTCCCAGCTACTTGAGAGGCGGAGTTGGGAGGTTTGCTTCAGCAGGAGGTCAAGGCTGCAGTGAGTCATGTTCACACCACTGCACTCCAGCCTGGGCAACAGAGAGAGACCTGCCTCAAAAAAACAAAGAGTAATTCCCACATACAAGCACTCATATCTTCTCTCCTGGCAATACACAGTGCAGTATTAGTGGGCTTTTCACCTTTCAGGGATGTTTAAAACATTTTTATCTGAATGCTGTGGAGCCATTGCCTAGTGATGGATTACTTACATCTTATGATGTGACCCATATTACTTGGAAAAATGGAAAACAGTGTATCTGTTCTATGTTCCTTCACAGCAAACAACTCGATGATTGCATTAATCAAATATGAAATATATAACCAAAAGATATGGTTTGTTGGTTAATGAGAGGCAAATCTCAAATAAAATTACATTTTTAGAAAGATTATGCTTGAAGTTAAAAATAAATTCTCATCACCTACTTTTTGGTTGGTAACCAGGCTTCCTACTGGAAATAAGAGTTTTCAGAGAATTCATAGATAGTTACTCTCTTGCCTCTGCTCAAGGTTCTTCAAAGTATATGACTTTGGGAAGTAATGTTAGGCTTCACGTTTCTTATCCCAGGATGATTTTTAGTGCCATTGCACGGTGATACAAGAATACTCTTGCTACCTGAGCAGTTTATGAAGTATTTTAGAAGTATGTAAGTACTGCCTGAAAGCTCCAAAACAATCCAGCACACCATTTATGCTGGCCAAAGAATGAAAATATGGGAATGCAATTTTCTACCAAACAACGAGAAGCTGAGCATTATTTAACCTTTTCCCTAACATGGGCAACACTAAAAAACACTTCACTTATGAATTTAGCAAACTAAAAGTAAGCATGAACTGGAAACACCACAGAGAACTGCCATTATGTTCATAATTCAACTTTGTGTTACTCAGTACAGTTGCAGTTTGAGATGCAAACTGTACATTTCTTAAAGGTCATGGGAACACCAGGAGAAAAGAATAAAGTGAATTAGTGAAAAATAAATACAGGACAGATTTTTACACTAGAAGTCAGTGTTAATAAAGTTTCTTACTAACAAGGTATCATCACTCTCTCAGAAATGCAAAAGCTGTAACATTAAAATAACTTACTAAATATTTCATATAATTGTTCGGATTTCTCCCTACAACAGGCAGATAAAAAGTTCTTTCCTTTCTCTCTATGTGTACAATTTATCGTTTGCCTTAAAAAAGTAATTTCCTAAAAATGCATTTTTCTTTTTCATTAGGAACCCCTGTGACTCAACAGCTAAAAATGGGGAATCTAAGAGGGCTGAAAAAGACTTAGCCTGATATTAAATTATATTTTCATTACCATTAAAATATTTTTTCAAGTTCACTATAAATGCTGATGTAAATTAATGCTTTAAAATAAAGCATGTGTGTTATTTTTGATAAAACAAAACCTCATACTTCATAAAGGTTTCATGTATTTGAAAATACAAAGACATTTCAAGTAGAAAACTAGCTCACCTTCTTTCAGAAGAAAAAACACATTAAATTAAAACCTCAAGGCTAAGGAAACTAAAAAGGAAAGACCAAGTCCTTACAATTGTGTTAGGGAGCCAGAAAACATAGTACAAAGGAGAATAGAACTTTCTAAGTAACTCTAGGTTGAAAAGATACACATTCCAAGATTATTTCCAAGCTAAAAGCTTCACAACATAAATAAAAACAAAGAGTATAACACTATCATTCACAGAAAACAGAAGATGTCCTCCACATATTGAAAAAACCCACTAAATTGAGAAGGATTTTTAAAAAGTCAATTTATTGGCTGACCTACTAAACATTTCAAGAAAATACTGAATTTTCAAAGATGCATGATAGACTTGAGTAAAAATTATAACCATCAAAACAATAAATCACTTATGCAAATTCAAAAAAACAAGTTTTGTTATGATATTGATACTACATAAAAGGAGTATGAAAAATGCAAAAGTAACTATCAAAATATTTTTGTTAATTATGTCTTCATTTAACAATTAGCTTACAATCTATACTAATTTTTTACATCAAATGAAGAAATTATTTTGTCATTAAAGTAGTACTTTTAGGCCTATCTAGTCTATTTTACTAGTCTATTTTAAAATAATTCAAGAAATAAGAAGAATAAAGATAAAAATCTTAATATGCAGTTTGGTAAAGTTCAAGTTGGTCTTTGAACAACACGTTTATCTATCCAGTAAAGCTTGTGTTAATGCGATGTAAGAGTTTGGCAAATTCAACTTTAATGGAGCATAAAAGTGCTTTTGCTTGAAAGTGAGATCATTTTTAAAAATTCAAAGCATGATCACTTTTTCTTTTTTCGTAGGAACAATCTGATACAAGCAGCAAAGCTTAAATAAACTAGAAACATTTCAAATGATCCATAAAGGATTAATAAGCACTGCAGGAAGTCCTATAGGCTCAGCGTATACATTTTCCATCTTTTCCCCCCATGATGGGCATGATATGAAATTCTAAACAGAAGTGAAGTTTCAAAGTCTTTGAATGTTAAAGGGCTGTTGAGTTGAGGTGAGAGGTCACAATTTAGGGACCTCTAATTTGAAATGGATCAAGATATAATAATATTAGGACAAAAATCATTCAAATTGGGACATTCAATTAAAAAGTTCTTGCTGATGTTAATAGCCAGTGGTCAGAAGCAAAACTAAGGCAAAAGGAGTAGTGGTAAGCTACAGGCCACTAATATAACAAGAACAAAATGACAGCTATTATTTTGGCAGAGATAATCTATGCTGAAACACAAAACACACACGCACACAATTTCTTTCAATACAATTTTCTTGTCTTCCCACTGACTTCTGTGATTACCACAGAAAGCAGGGTTCTAAATACATTTCTCAATTGAATCTTCAATCAATAATAGTAAAAAATTCAGATGGAAAATATGGGAAAATGCATTATGGCATTAGTAACTGTTTACAAAATAGGCTGAACTTACCAATATGCATGGAAGTTGACAAGGAGAAACCCCAGATACCTAAAACATCATATTTTTGTCACCCCAAAGCTCAGTCACAATGCTTGTGCTCATATCAAAATTCTTTTCATTCTTAGGTTGGCACTCATCCTTTTTAATCCTTATAATCATTAATTCTTTGAGAATAAATACACCTAATAAAAATTCCTGTTTTAAATAAAAAAAGTAAACAGCCCCCAAAAAGTAAGCAGCTGATTTTCTATTAAAGATAAAACGCCAATTTTTCCTTACTTATAGACACAATTACAACTCAGCACTCAGTCCTAAATTGAAGTCAGTAAGAGCATAGCTTTTTAGTAAATGCCCACGTTTACTCCTGGAATAAACACTCAGAGAGGAAATTAAAAACTCCATTCCTTAGTTTTTATATGAAGTTTAGAATATGCATATTTAAAAATCTCTGTGTTTTAATAGTTCCTTGACAGAGGCATAAATTATTCATGCTACTATTATATTATACAATGAGATTTACTATCGTAAAATGAAATGCAAATACTAAGTGAGAAGAGTGACATTTAACAATATCAATGAATGTTGGAATCAACAAGAAAAAAGCTTAAAAACAGACAAACAAGTGAAAAAAAAAACCTTGTCTCAAGTAAACAGCCATAATGTTGCAGTACAATTGTCAACTTCTTATGTACTAGCCTTTGGTGAGAATACAGAGGGCCCTTACTAAGGCTTTGGCTATTTAATTGCTGATTCATATTACCATTAGCTGATGGGTAAAAGAAATGAAGTCAAAGCAATTCAGATTTCTACAGTCACAAATTTAATCATTTATTGAACACCTATTCAGTTCTTTGAACTTTCTAGTAAACTGACAGATTAGAAAGCAAATTGTCACTCTTTTACAGAGGAGGCTTTCTGAAAACAGCATACAGACTTTGAATCAGAGAGGCCCAAACTTAAATCTCAGCTCTACAATGTATTGCCGTTCCAACATTGGTTGTGTTTCTTACTATAAGATTCAGCTTCCTTATCTATAAAAATGGAAAAAATACCACCAACTTCGCAGGGTTGCTACAATAATTAAATGATACCTTTTAAAAATGTATGTATGTACATAAAAAACATGTAGCAATGTGTTTGGCAGCAAAAAAAATATTAGTCTTTCTTCTTTCCCCTGTTCTCCAGAAATCTACAACCTCATAGGGAACAAAATGATTTGACGAATGAAAGAACATAACTATAAGAGACTATATTAAAGAAAATGGGGGGAGAAAAGTTATACTTTTGAAGTTCTTTAGGGATTCAGAGGGAAAAAAATTCCATAGCTGTGATGTCCATGAAAGGCTTCCTAGAAATGAGATGGGTTTGGGTCTTAAAGGTGAAAGAGAATTGAGACAGATAAAAATGGCAAGTGGTTGAGGACAATCCAAGCAGTTGTTGAGAAAACAAGGAGGTCTGTCTAGAGGAATGATAGTTTGACAGTGTTGCTGGATGATAGAGTCTGTGGAGAGAGAAGGTTGGATTTATAACGTCTCAAATGGCAGAATAATTTGGCTATAACGCTACACAAATCTAATTCAACCACTATAGCACTCACAAGTATGTATAAAGTGTACGTTATATTCTAGAGTGGTATACAAAATAGGACAGGATGCTAACTACACAGTTAAGGTAAAAAAAATTTGCTCAAATTCATTTGGCTTACATATACTATAATCTAACCTACAAAGAGCAATCATGATTAAAAATAAAGAGTTCCAGCCAGGAGCAGTGGCTCATGCCTGTAATTCTAGCACTTTGGGAGGCCGAGGCAGGTGGATTGCCTGAGATCAGGAGTTCGAGACCAGCCTGGCCAATATGGCAAAACCCCATTCCTACTAATAATATAAAAATGAGCCAGGCGTAGTGGTGGGCGCCTGTAATCCCAGCTGCCCGGGAGGCTAAGGCAGGAGAACTGCTTCAACCCAGGAGGTGGAGGTTGCGGTGAGCCAAGATCATGCCTAGGCAGGTGACAGAGCGAGACTCCATCTCAAAAATAAATAGCTAAACAAACAAACAAACAGTTTCAGAAAAACAAAAATGAAAGGGAGACATGAGTGCTACTTACATGGGGGAAAAAACCATAAAGGTGGGTATACTCACGTAACAATGAACATAGGTATGTAGCAAGAAGTGAGGCCTAGAACAGAGAGAAGGATGTTTATATTAACTATGAGGAAAAACCTCTGAATATGGAGCTTGTGAAGATGAGAAGAGAGCCCAGCAAGAGATTGCAGAAGCACCATTAATGCAAAGTATTCAAAAGATTTTCAAAGCACAGTGGCAGAAAGATGGATTTCTCAAGATGCAGTGTTTTCGCCTGGGTGACCCGTAGACGACATGTTAGTTCTACAATTTATGACTTTTGGATTAAAGCTGGGAGAGGGGGGTGTCCTTCCAGACATGGAGAGCCCTTAATGATAGCACAGCTACACAACTGCACAGTGATCAAGAGTTACTGAACTAAGAAAAACCTTAGCAAGTACTCCCTCAATTATTTCGGCCCTTGGGCATTTCGATGGGAAACTACTCATTCATATTATTCTTTTTCCAACATTCATTTTATAGAATATCAAGACAGAGTCAAATGTTGACTTACTATGGTAAATAGAGGGGAAAAAAAGCCTGCTTTGATTTCCTTTCCCTTATTACCACCTTGGTTTTGTGTTGTAGAATGTCGATTAGGTTTGAAAAGAGGGTGGAAGATGTGGGGGTGGGGGGGTACACTCTTCCCTTCAATGAAGACAAAAGATAGCAGCTATTTCATTCTGCTCTGTGAGTATGCTACTCCCTTAATTCTTTCACCATCATATTAAACTGTGATTTCCAAAAGGGTCCTGAAAAATGTATTACATTTTACCTTTATTCTAAAAAAATTAGTAAGCAATTATAGAGAAAGGATAAAAGTAGGGCAAAAATGTTTTTTTTTTTTTTTTAAACCAGCTAAAATCTTCAGAGTTTAAAATGATTAGAAAGGCAAACTGTTAGGTATTCAGAAGGAAAATGTGAATGTTTTCCCAAAGGCATTATTAACAATTAATAATCATTACACTGGTGCCTTGTTTACCTGACCTTGTGTAAATTCAGCAGCCTGGTAATTAGACCATATTTTGCACATTTGTATATTTCCATGCATAGATTTGACTCATTCATTCATCCATTAAAATTTGCTTGACAGACGTAGATGAATAATCAAGCTACAATTTGTATTTACTGGATTATAGAAAATTGCCCAAACTGTTAAGTTCAAGGAAAGCGCATTCTTGTCTCTCTCTTGTGACTGATGTAAAAGCAATTACACATCAGAGGATTGCCCCAAAGCTCTCAGAAGAAGTGGCACTGCTTTTGCAATCTGGGGTCTTCAACGGTATCTTTTTTTCTGAATGCACAGAAATTGTTTAAAGATTAACAGAGGGAAGAAAATCTCCCTGTGCATGCAAGTTTATCATTTAACTCATTACACTGCCATTTCATAGTAAAAAGCAATGGTCTGATCAACTTTCTACATCTAAAATAAACGATGCAGCCTTATTCTGCAAAGTAACTAGAAGGCTTGACGAGGAGAAATAAGGTAACTTTTTTTGGAAAGGTTTGTGAAAGATACTTTTTCCTCATGTTCCTAGAAAACAAATGATCAACAAGACCTGACCAGATCTCTCCTAATATTAATCAGTGAGAAACAAAGGCATTGTAAGATTTCATATTAATGTATTTTTATGCAAAGGAGCAGAACACATTTTAGTATTAACTGCTCCCTAAATTCAGATGTTTACTACTAGTCAAACATGCTGTCATGTGAAACTGTATTTTACACTAAGGTATTTATTTTGCTTATGCAGTCACTAACCGAACCATCGCTAATATACGTTTTCTGGTCCAAGGTACAGTATTTCTTTTACGCTGCTGAAGATACAACAATTTTGCTGTCTTAAATTCATCTCTTCAAACTGCTTATTTTGATTGTCTACTTTAGAAGAAATGATTCCTGACTTTAAAGAGTATGTGCATATAGCCAGCATTATCAAATTTTTTAAACCTTAGATCATAAAACAAATTTTTAAAGAAATATAAAGATGCAAGTATAAATTTATATAATCTTTAGTATAGACATTTAGCACCACAACTGAAAAAGAAATAAGAATTGCTTAGAACCTGTTTTCATAAACATTATGTTACCATTTATGCAGTTCAAAATTTGGCTTGAAGTAAATTGTTTGGATAGGTAATGGTTAAACATCATGCGGGCCTTACTTACAAATTCAACAAATAAAAAGGTTCTCTAAATTTCTGAAATATACAACTGATTCACTTAGTATTAGTATTACCAAAACCTAATTTGTTTCTTCTGAACAGCCCATCTTTTCTTCCCATAAGACAAACATCATGATGGATATCAGACATTAACTTCTGTGATGATGGCCTGAAATCACACAAAAGATTACCAGGGAACCAGGTAAAACATTAGTTTAGAAAATGAGCTGCTCCTACAATCTACATTCTTATAAATACAAAAATGGACTTCAGATCCTTCTAGAGAGTGTGACTTCATATAAAACTGAGTGTTGGCCAGGCGTGGTGGCTCACGTCTATAATCCGGCACTTTGGGAGGCTGAGGCGGGCAGATCGCTTGAGCCTAGGAGTTCAAGACCAGCTTGGGAACCCCAACTCTACAAAAATACAAAAAGTAGCTGGGTATGGTGGTGCCTGCCTGTTAGTCCCAACTACTTGAGGGGCTGAAGTGGGAGAACTCTTTGGACCTGGGAGGCAGAGGTTACAGTAAGCTGGGATCACATCATTGCACTCCAGTCTGGGCAACAGGACTGGAAACCCTGTCTCAAAAAAAGACAAAACAAAAAACTACAACAACTGAGTATCTGCTGAGTCTATGGCATTGCAATAGATGTTTCAGGGGCTTTATATCAAGAAGGCATGGTCCTGACAGTTTAACATGATAAAACAACTGTGATTTTAGAGCCAAACACAAAAGCTAGGTGTCTGACGCTTGGCCTCAACAAAAACACTGACAGGGTGGTGGTGGGAGAGGGTGTTAGGATTCTGAAAGGGGAAGGACTGCTGTCCAAGAAGTCAGAGGCTGCTCAGAGAAAGCTTTATCCAGTGTGTGACTTAGATGATTTCTTTTTGGTTTGTTATCTGTTTGGTTGGTTGTTTTTTACAAGGTTCCAAGTGTTGCAAATTACATTTTACCTTACCTGTTAAAGATAAAGAGAGAGGGCCGGGCGCGGTGGTTCAAGCCTGTAATCCCAGCACTTTGGGAGGCCGAGGTGGGTGGATCACGAGGTCAAGAGATCGAGACCATCCTGGTCAACATGGTGAAACCCCGTCTCTACTAAAAATACAAAAAATTAGCTGGGCATGGTGGCACGTGCCTGTAATCCCAGCTACTCGGGAGGCTGAGGCAGGAGAATTGCCTGAACCCAGGAGGCAGAGGTTGCGGTGAGCCGAGATTGCGCCATTGCACTCCAGCCTGGGTAACAAGAGCGAAACTCCGTCTAAAAAAAAAAAAAAAAAAGATAAAGAGAGAAAAGTAACACAAAAGTACAGCTGTTCTATCAACTGCTAGTGATGCTCTGTTTAAAAAGAAAAGCCATCTAAGCTCATCTCCACTCCTCTGCTTTAGCTTATTCCCACAGAGTTGCTTCTACTAGCAACCCCAGAACAGAAATAAAATACTGCATTATTGCCCCAAAATATTTAATTCTGTACCACATACTCAAGTTATCTTCCAAAATTGGGAAATAGTCATTCTGAAGGTAGACAGAGGAGAAAGGTTCCCTGAAATCAAGGCCATACAATTCTATTTATGAGCCCTTCTCTGCTGAACTATCTTCTCCTGCCAGACCATTACGTGCTCCAACCACCAGCCAAGTATAGAACAGGAAGGAAGTCCACTGACCACATGACCAACAAACGTAACAGCTCTCCAACAGGAGGCAAAAGTCAACTAAGCTCTATCACTCTTGTGCAAGAGAGTCCTTGTGCAAGCTAGGGCTAGGAAAAGAGCATGTAAAACCCAACAAATACATATGCATATATACATGGTGCTAAGGGTTTCTCAAAACTGTATTCTGGGTATTTAATTCTGGTGTTAATAGGAAAAAGATATAACGGCCTAGTTTTAAGAGAACCTAAACCAACAAGAATTTGAAAACCAGCCTTGGTGCTAAGAAGCCAGTTTTCTGGTCATGGTCCTGGAGCCAGGAAGGGTGCTATTAAGTAAAAGAAAAGATCAATACCACACCTGTGGTTCAAGAACAAGCTAGAAACGCAGAAAATAATTTTAAGGTGAAAACCTGCAAAGTGTGTGTATGTGTATGTGTATGATGCAAGACTAAGTTTAACTTCTTAGAGATTCCTAAGGTGAATGAAGTTTAGACAGCAAAAAAGATTAAAGATGACATTCTAGAAAATGCCATCCACTGGCTATGGAGTCATTAACAAAAAAAAAAAATAAATAAATAAGAATTTGCTATTCCATCAAACACAAATACTATACCCACAGCTTCTCTGAAGGTTCCAAAAATCACTCCCTTGCTCAAATGAGCAAGTCCTGTGTCAGCCATGTCCCTGGCACTATGCTTTGCTCAGACGACATGAAACTAAACACAACACAACACAGCGCAGCTTGTGTTCACAAGGAGCTCAAGGCCTGTGGGGAAAAGAGCCAATCAACTCGGTAGTAGCTGCTACCACAGAGGTGTGTACGAATGGTTATGGGAGCATGCAGAAGACAGTAAGACATTTTGTCTGGAGA